AAAAGTATTAAATATTATTACTTTATACATTTTATCACCATGTTTTCTTAATAATTAGCAGTGAAATAGTTACCTGCTATTTTATTATTTATTTCGAATAAATAAGTGAAAATACTTCAATTCTCAAGTAATAACTCGAAATTGTAATAGTAATAATCAATCAATATCAACTTATAGATTTCCTCTGACATGAGGAATGTGTAGAAAAACTATTTTGTAGGATGTAATTGCACTCTAACTATAGTAAAAGTACTATTTATTGTAGCCACATTCAATTTGTAAAAAATTCTCATCATTCTCCGTTTATGAAAATAGAGAACAAATCTTAAACAATGGGAATTTATTCTATATCTGAGTTTTGTAATCAATGAAAATTCAAATGTCCATATTTATTGATGCTTCACATGAAATATTTTAGTTACTGTACATGTAACCTACGTATAAATGAGATTTTGTTTAATAGAAGTGTGATTTTCATTACATCTTCCATAAATCTCAGTTTGTATACATATGATTCGATCACAAACAATGCTGTGTACTGATGTTTCTAGTCTTTAAATAGATTGTTAATCGCTATGACTGAATGGCTACGTTTTTCGATACTTATGCAACAATATGTCGACTAAATTATGATATACACGCCCTCTTATGACTAGTGCGTACAGCTAAAGTTGTTGAACCCAAGAATTCTATGTCAAGCTGGTCATTTCTCCACAACTACAGCTAGTCATAATTGTAGGAAAGGTATCGAAGTATTGAAAGGCAGTAATAAAATCTTTTTTAACTATCTTATTTTTGAGCATAGTGACGAATATGCTGTATTGCAACAGTTTACCGTAGACCCTAAAAAAGGTCATATAATCTCGTCGACTCTAATGTGTATATAGTAGTTCAATGTCGCCTTTTATTCATCGACAGCATTAATACTAATCGAATATTTAAAAGAAATTCTTTTTCGTTCATAAGCAGGTGAAAGTTTTTCTTTTTTGTTTTTTTTTGTAACACACACTCAGTTATAAATAAATGACATTCTTTAGAAAGAACGAAAAAAAAAATCACACACGCACACAAACATATATATGTATAAAGGGTGTGTCATAAGTTCTGATCCCATCCGTATTTTGACTATAACATTTTTTCTTTTTGATCTTTAAACCTGATTGTTTTTCCAAAAGATGCGCCATGAAATTCTCTACAAAATCATAATCAAACTTATTTCTGTAGAAAGATAAGAAAAAAAATTAAATGAAGATTATCCAACACATAAAAAATATCCAACTATCGAAGCTAACGAGTGTCCCATAATCAATGACCAGTATTTGTATCTCTTTTTTATCATCTAGTACGCTTATTTTAACAGCGAAATATACCATAAGATGCAGCGTGAAAATATCTACAATTTACCAAGAACAATTTATTATATATACATGCACCTTTTGTTTTTAAAATAAGTAAAATTCTGTGCGACAAATAAATCATTTTATTCGCAACGTCGAAAATTGGTAGCACAGATATTTACCCATTTTGAAAACGAAGAGTGCATATATAAAATAAGTTTTTTAATGCAACTTGTAGAGCTTTATACGCTGCATCTTATGGTATGCTTTGCTGTTAAAATAAACGTAATAGATGATAAAAAAAAGAGATACAAATACTGGTCATTGATTATGGGACACTCGTTAGCTTCGATAGTTGGGTATTTTTTATGTGTTGGATAATCTTCATTTAATTTTTTTTCTTAACTTTCTACAGAAATAAGTTTGATAATGATTTTGTAGAGAATTTCACGGCGCATCTTTTGGAAAAACAATCAGGTTTAAAGATCAAAAAGAAAAAAAGTTATAGTCAAAATACGGATTGGATCAGAACTTATGGCACACCCTTTGTACATAAAATTGCTCTTTAATCGTTCTTTTTGTTTTTTCTTCTTAGCAATTAAAAATGATAATAACTCTAACCTAATCGACACATAATGACAAATGAGCACGAGCAAAAAAAATAGGTATGAAATTTTCATTTCATGCAAAGCAAAAGACCAAAAAAAAAGGAGTAAGTGAATATTGCACACAAAAAAGAAAACAGATGACAATAATACTGATGAGATTCTATTTGAAATGTTTATCTAAGAATCTAGAAGACAAGATTTTATTTTTTCTGTTCATGTTTGAGCATCTTGAGGTGTTGCAGCTATAAAATTATAAATTCGACGATTTGTATGCAACTAAATATGAAAAAAAAATTTTTTTTTTAATAAAAAAAAAAGTACATTTTTATTTTCTTTTACTTCAAAAGCAGCTCGACTATCAAATCGTCTTAATGCATTTGAAAATGGACCTGTATAAGGAAGAATTTCTACAGCATCAGCTAAAATAATAACACCTTTTGCTGTTTGATCATCACTACTATCATTATATCGAAGCTAAAAACAAATAAATAATTATAACAAAAAACAAAAACTAGAATTAAATTAATTACCTCATGTCGTACAGAATCAAGTAGAAACCATCGTTCTTTCCATTGTTTTAATAAATGACCTCGTTTTCTTAAATAACCTTCATGTGTTCGATGTTGTGGACCTGAATTATTTCCACTTCCACTTCATGATGAAAATGGATGTGATAAACCATGATGATCATAAACACCTGAAATATTTGATAATAATTATATTCTAAATAAGATTTCAAAAATAGAAAAAAATAAGTTTGTTATATCTACAGATAGAATTAGATTCTATGTCTTATTTTATTCTAATAGGGTTAATAAATAAGAATAATTAAAAACTAAAGCAACAACTAATATCATTCACAATATAATTCAAGTAATCTTCTTGTCATATTTCAATATTTGTACAAACACACTTATACATCCATTCAAGCAAATTATATAGAATTCCTTTTTTAAGCGCCCC